AAAAAAAAAAAAAAAAAAAAAAAAAAAAAAATTGACCATCGACAATTAAACATTAAGATATATGTTGCATAATATAACCTATAATTTTTCCGATATTTTTTACCACTAGAAGTTTACTAAATGATTTAAAATGATCCCTCTGTTTTTTTTTTTTCATTATTTTAAAAATGACAAATTCAAACTTATAGGTACTTTAGATAAACAATTTTGATAATTGCTATTCCACAAATGTACGTATTTCATAAAACCGTATTAAATCGACATCATGTTGAAAAAAAAATTGCCATTGGGTTTTTTCAAGCGAAATAAAATTACTTTGGATATACGGTTGAACATATTGATGATGATAAAAATATTTATACTAACTACAAAATGACATTTTTCCCTCTTTCCATTTTTTTCTGAGTGAAAAAATCAAAATAAATGATGTACTACTTAGTGCAAATATTTAGGTTATATTAAATTTAAGTATGAGACACTTATTTATGAGAAATCATTCAATTAATTGTAAGATTTAAACCTACGATCTCATGTTTCCCAAACTCTACATAAAACAATTGGGCAACAGGCGTTTATTTTTTAACCGACGACCAATTGTACTTTGTTACCCAAAGCCTTGAGGAATCGTGGATAGCTCTTGGTTTTTAATTGAATTAAATTATTCGATTATTTCATTTAACGATTAATCTTTTTAGTATTTATTTTTAAGTGATAACCTTGAAGATTTTTTTGTCAATACTTACGCAATACTCTGGCATTAAATGAATACACGGAAATTATATTATACTTTCATCATTAAAAAATAAATAATTACATTTTATAAAATGTCAATCAATATTAATGACATGTAAGATTAAAAATTAAACTACTTGTACATTGCGTTTTCATTACCGACTTAGATGTTTGATGATGATGTTTCAATAAGATGTTTTTTCAATGAAAATGGTAGAATTGATATTATTTTATCAAACATCAGCGTGTGTCAGCCCTTTACTGTAACCTAAGAGCCTAAGATATTTGTATATTTTAATCATTACCTCATTATCATAATACGATAATTTCACATATGCCAAAATTTTATACCATCGTCTTCAAAATCTAGTCACGTATATCAGAAGAACATATGTACCTACATACTTAGTTAAATACCGTAACAAGAATGTGTAGATGTATGGGAGACAAGCATAGTGTACAAAATTTATATTATTCCATATGAAAGTCGCACCATAATGTAGTTTTACTAATCAAATATCGTAACTTTGCATGTTCATGACGTTGGGAACAATTTCATTCGTGGACATTTTTTAATAATATGAAAACAATTGTGATGTTTGTTATTTTAATATACAACTAGTAACAAGGACTATCAAAAGCCAACTTATCCCCGCGACATAGTCCGCGGAATTAAAAAACTTTATTAAACAAAATTATTTGTTACATACAAAAATATAAATCTTTACTCTTTCCTCTTTATAGAAATACGTAACGAATATTTTTGCAGTGTACTTCAAAGTATAAGGAAATTATCAATGGGAATTTAGCAGAAAACCTAAAACCGCAGATGTGGGTTATTCATGTTTTGTTGTTATTACTATTTCATATTTGAAACCATACATAGTTATACATGATAACATACTTATACATATGTACTAAGGAAGGTCAAATAACCAAAACAATAAATAAAGCTATATGTTTTGTAATTTGAATATACTTCCTTAGATAGTCCCTTCGATAGTAAAATGTAATGTACATTTTTATTGTAAAACCCATTAACATTACTAATTTATTCTTTTATTGAATCACGTAATTTGTCTTATCCTAAATCGAAAGACAGACAAATCTTACTAATATTATAAATCCGAAAGTTTAGGTTGATTGAAGGATAGATGGGTGTTTGTAACTTAAACGGCTTAACGGATTTTGATGAAATATGGTGTAGATGTAGAGGATAGTCTGCAAGAACATGTAGGCTACTCGCTTTTGTTTCTTTTTAAATACCATGCGGACGGAGTCACGGGCGACAGCTAGTTTTAAATAAAGAATATAAAATACGCATCTGCAGTTATCAATAAAAAGAATAATATTAATATTAAGCTTAATAAACGCAATAAAAAAAGTGACGATATCCTTGCAAATATTTTTGAACATTAAATCGACAGGAATTAATTACTTTTTATTTTGATTATGACAAGCGCCGGCTATATAAGGCCAGTGACACCAAGAGACGCCATTTTT